GAACAAAATAGTGAAATATGTTATAATATAATAAATATTTTGATAAATAGTTTTATTTTTAACTTTAGACTATTGCTATTATGTCAAGCATTAATAGAAATCAAATCCATTTATTTATAAGAGAAACAAATTATCATTACCAAATGAAAAAGATAAGCTGGTCATTTTTAATTTTATTAGTGAACAACTTGGCAATACTAAATGTAAGGTTCAATTTTCAAAATTTACTTTTGAATACAGAAAGCGATGGGCTGCAAGTGGACTTTACAATAATATATTTTTGAATAAAAATTTAGCCTAGCTTTGCAAAGACTTTATTAGTCCCCGACAAACATTTTCTTTATGCAATACAAAAACTACACCTAAATTATCTTATGGCAGGCCTCGTAAATAATTTGAAGAATCATCTGATAAATCTAAAAAGAGAAAAGTGTCAAAACTTGAATCATTAGCAAGATCTTCAAATGAGCAGTTGATTGCTAGCAGTTGCAAACTTCGGAAACAAGGAAGGAGAAAGCATGTTAAGGTAGTTAAAAATTTATCAAAAACTCAAACGGATGAACATGTTCATAATAATCCCAATGAAGCCTTATCACTCATCTTAGATAATAATCTGAGCAAGTCTGATTATCAGCGTCTATGGAACAATGCTGTAATAAAAGGCTGTAATTTATATCCAGCTTATAATAATGTATGGGAAGCAAAAGTAAAGTTTGTCTTCCAAAGAATAACTTATGGACTGTCACCGACTATTCTGCAGAGGTCAACATGCAAGCATTGGTCAATCATACAGCACTACGTTTTACAGAATGTCAGGCAGAAGTTATTAACTCCTTAGAAGATCTTCAACGAATGACCCTAAGGTCCAAAGTTGGCTTTGATAGATCAACTGGCCAAAACCTTTATACTTGAATAACAACAGAAGAAGAAAACAGAAATATTACAAATGAATCCATCTTATTCCTCAGTTGCTTTGTGTCTGGATATTGTAATGGCGAAAAGAAGATTATTTGGTCCAACCCTCATCCATCATCCACTTTATTTTGCAGACCAATAAAATTCTCCTATAAAAAAAAAAATATCAGATGTATTAAAAGAAGAAGAACAACTACTTTACAACTCAATAGAAAAATTATTTACTACAAAGTATGACAAATTAACAGTTCTGCACAAAATTGAAACTACAATGATGGATGGGAAAGTTGCCACAGTACTATCAAAAAAAAAAAAAGACTTAAATACTGCAAAAAATCTCCCAATTACTAAAACTGGACTCCATTTTGGGCTTTCAACTCTCCATGCATGGATCAGAACTATGGAATGCCTTCTCAAAATAAGCTACACAATAACAAAAAAGAAATGGTCAACACGAGAACCATCAGAAAAAAAAATTCAAGATAGAAAGACATCAATTCAAAAGATATTTTGTGATGAAGTTGGGCTTTTAATTGATTTTACTAGGACTTGTGGTTCAGGATCTTCAAACACTGGCAATACTGCTCGACGATTTTTTCAAAATGCAGAGAAGACTGCTGAAATTCTCCAACTAGATGTCATCATTATTAAGAAATTGCATGTTATTTTGTGCACTTTATCGTCACAATATGTTATTGATTCTTCTTGATTTAGAGACCTCTGCATGCAAACAGCTGAACGATATGTGAACCAGTATCCATGGTACCACATACCACAGAGCCTGCACTGAATTCTTATTCATGGTTGGCAAGTTGTGGATCGAATGGCTTTGCCAATTGGCATGGTCAGTGAAGAGGCACTAGAAGTACATAATAAAGACTTCAAGAATTTCCTAGAGTCTTTTTCAAGAAAGTGTTCCCGTTCTAAAACAAATGAAGACTTGTTAAGGAGATTGATGTGTTCATCTGATCCAATTATTAGTAATTTGAGAACACCACACCAAAGAAGAAAGACTTTTAGTAGCTCTAGCACTCCAGATGGAGTGCTAGAGCTACTAAAAGAAGTCCACTTAAAGATTTTGTGTAAATATATTATATTATTACATTTTTACTGCAATGTTACTTAAATTGTGTTTCTCTTTTCATTTTTTCTGCTTATCTGTTTACTATATGTTTATTGCTACAAATTAAGGATGTTATAACGACATTTTGTTTACCCCATTGTAACTAAGGATATTGTAACTAAGCAATATAAGTATCCATAGCAACAAAATAAAAAAATAGCAACTTCATAAACAGTGCACCATGGCCTACTTTATACATGGCCGGATATGTTGCATAAATAGGCCGAAAATTAGAAGGCCAGTTTTTCAATATTACAAGTTTTCGGGATTTAAGTTTAAATAGGTTTAAATATAATTAAATTGCTAGGTTTTTTAATTTAAGTTAATAAATATATTATAATTATTTAAATTAAATAGATTTATATAGTAAAATATCTTTTCGTATTAGTTTTTCCTTATTTAAAAATGTTTAGGTTGATTTTATTATTAACATCTAGTAGTTTTTTTTTAAATTTGTTTATT